GTTGGTGATGTCCTAGGCACTGCACTGGTGCCTCGGGTCATACAGGGCTTTCTCTCCGTGCCCAGGTGGACCTGCACATCCTCAAGCAGCAGCCCGCAGTACAATATCTGTGAACAGATGATCCAGATCCGGGAGGACCACATGCGCTTCATCTCTGAGCTGGCACGCTACAGCAACAGCGAGGTACACGCCTACCGCACTGTGTAGACTGCACCCAGACCCACACGCTACAGTGACGGTGAGGTGCACACCCACTGCAACCAGAGACACAAGCTCCAATAGTGAGGTGCACACCTGCTACATCGTGTATACCATGTAGTCTGCACCAGTAACAGTGAGGTGCACACCCACTGCATCCAGAGATACATGTTACAGTAACAGTGAGGTACACGCCTACCGCACCATGTAGGCAGCACCAGAGACACACACTACAACAGTGGGGTGCACACCTACTGCACTGTGTAGGTTGCACCCAGAGATAAACATGCTACAGCAACAGTGAGGTACACGCCTACCGCACCGTGTAGGCTGCACCAGAGCCACACGCTACAACAGTGGGGTGCACACCTACTGCACTGTGTAGGCTGCACCCAGAGATAAACATGCTACAGCAACAGTGAGGTACACGCCTACCGCACCGTGTAGACTGCACCCAGAGCCACACGCTACAGCGACAGTGAGGTGCACACCCACTGCACCCAGAGATACAAGCTCCAACAGTGGGGTGCACACCTACCGCACCGTGTAGGCTGCACCGAGAGCCACATAGGCACCCAAATATTTGCTTTTATTCTTTTGCACTCAAATATTAACATTAATTGGTTTGAAAAATGTCAGTGTTTTAAAATTCATTTCTTTAAATTGACCAAACCTAAATAGGGGAAGAAGATTCCCTCAAACCCAAACCGAAATACTCAAAAACAAAGCAAAACCCTCATACTTGATGAGACAGTGTGGGTTAGCCTTGTGTGTGTCGGCTAAGCTGTATGGAATGAAGCTTTGCATTAGGAAAGCCTTGGAAGGGCTGGAACTGGTAGACGCTTGTGTAACATGTATGGCTGTTGCATGTCAGCTCCAGTGAAAAGTGGGGTGGGGGAGAGGAAGGGAGGGGAGAAAGGGAAGGACAGAGAGGGAGGGAAACGTGAACCATGTTAGGGTCTCCCAAAGAACAACTCAGGCTAGGATGAAGCAATGGAAACAGAAGGAGAGGGAGACCAGAGAGGGTTTCTGATCTGCAGGCCTTGTCGCATTTAGAAGGGAAGTCAGTTCCCAGGCGGAAGCTAACTGGAGCCTCAAGGTCAGTGCAGGAAATCCTCTACCCGTCTGGATTGGTTTCATTTTCTCTGCCAGTTAAAGAATTAAGCACAGGATGTCTGAGACATAATCAGACAATGGAAAACACTTTTTTAAAGATGGACACACACACAGAGAGAAAGAGAGAGAGAGAGACCCACATGGCACATGGGAAGACTCCCTACAAAGCAGAGGAGGGCTCTGAAGTTGGTTTCACTTCAAGAGGTGCAGATTTTGAGGGTTCTTGGTGTGTTGGAATGGGGAGAAGGAATCTTCTCCTGTTTAGGGTTGGTCAGTTTCATCAATGGAAAGGAAGATGGTTATACATCTGATGAGCTGTGCAGCCATCATGAAGTCCCTTCGTACTGTTCTTATTATCCCAAAGAAATCTCACGCCCATCGGTAGGTCTCCCCTTTCGCTGACAGTCTAATGCTTGCCTCTGTGGATGTGCGTAGTTGAATCATTTCACCTAAGTGAGTCATGAACCCTGAGGGAGGCAGCTGGAGGAACTTCTGCAGTTAACGCTGCGAGGTCACAGGTTTGAGTAAGCCTCGGGGTTGCGTTGAGCTTTGGAAGCGGTGTTCAGGACCAAGGAGGATGGGAGAGGGCAGAAGGGTCCAGGTTGCAGTTCTAGGTGGCCAAATGTTGGGGCACCCTGGCAGGAATCAGCAGGGGGTGCATGGGAGGGGGCGCGAGGATATAGAAAATGGCAGATTAAAAGAACCTGCGAGAGAAAACATAGGCTAGACCGGGAGGACTGAAGGTAAATACCAAACAGCCTTGAGTTTATTGCTTAGCCAGCATATGTACTAATTACAGGCAAGAGGCGGAACACCTCCTGCATTGTCCTTGAGAGGAAGCTCAAGTCGGTGCATAATCGCACACAAGAATTCAGTTAGCAGCAAGCAACTGCTAATCCCTAACCAGGACTGTCTCTGGCTGGTGGACACCAGCGCAAATCTTAATAGAATAATGTACTCTTTCATCTGGGAGAAAAAAAAAATGCTCTTTCTACGGGTTAACACAGACATTGCTCACGGGCCTCAAGGTTACTGGAAAAAGCAGAGTAGGCAGGCTTGAGCTCAAATGACTTCTTTAAGTCAGAATGACTCCAGATGGAAACTGAGTCACATGAGGGCTCCCACAGCCAAATAAATGGATGGGTAGATAAGTCAACTGTCAACTATGGGACCAAGCTGAGCGGAAGCCCTTGGGACAGTTGGGCTTTCTGTCCATGTCTTCACACACATGCTTGGTGGTCAAGTGACGGTCTAGGCAGACTGTTTTCCGGTGGAGTTTGGTATCTGTATTCACCTCTGTAGGTGAGGGAGTTAAGCTCATTTCTCGGTCTAGTGTGGTCAGATAGGTTCTCATCGGCGTTTCCTCTGTGATTTTGATCTGCCTATATATTAAAATCGTTTTCATTTACTTTGATAAGTGTATGGGGTGACACCCTTTTTACTTTGAGGGATCAGTGAATTATGTGTGTGTCCCTTGTAAAGGCAGGGCTGTACAGACTTCCATGCCTCCCAAATGTCTGTCAACCTGTTCTGTGTCAAATGCTCCAGAGTAGAGCCCAATGCTGCTGATAAAATGAGATTCATGAGGGTAAGGCACAGCCTGAACAACCAGTTTCTACCCTTGGGAGGCAGCATAGACCAGAGCGCAGCCTAGTGTCAACAGGTTTGGATGTAAGCTGTCCTCCGACCAGTGTTGTTGACCATCTTTCCGTGTACCGATCAAGCCGCTGTACATGTCTTTTGCGCAAATGCCTGTTCAGGGGACTGAGCTCAGAGCTCAGCCCTAGTGTTTGCCCAGTATACGTGAAGCCCGTCTCCAGCACTGTGCAATCAAAACAAACAACCACAACAACAAAAACCCAAACAAGAACAAAAACAGAAAATGGTGCAGACCTGTTACCGCTACGCTGAGGAAGCAGGCAAAGACCAGCAGTGAGTTCAAGTCGGTCTGAGCTGTGTAGAAGACTCTGATCGCTTTGTGGGATTTTTGTTTTGTTTTGTTTTGTTCTGCATATGTGACTTTGAAATAGACGCCTAGAGTCAGTTTTCTGGACGCTACGTGAGCTTTTCAAGGAGAAAGAAACAAATGTCTGTTCACCCCAATTAGTGCTTTAATGGCAAACCAAAGAAACCATTCTACCGGAGTCTAGTTCATGAACTAATGAGTTTAACTGGGGCGACTTGCAGGAACATGGATGGTTTACAGATAGTTATGTACTACCGAACCTTTAAGTGCTCACACACCTGAGGGGACAAGCAGGGCCTCTAGTGGCCTCTTTCCACAGCCTTCATGAATGTTCGCAGGTCCCCTGAGAGAGAGGGCAGGGGGATGTTGTACCCAGAGAGCTGCGTTGCACAGCAGTAGGGAAGGAAGCTTGGCGGGTTTTCTCTGAATACCTTTGCCTGTGTGCCCTAGGTGGTCACCGGGTCTGGCCGGCAGGAGGCCCAGAAGACGGATGCTGAGTACCGGAAGCTCTTCGACCTGGCTCTGCAGGGCCTGCAGCTTCTGTCGCAGTGGAGCGCACACGTCATGGAAGTGGTAGGCACGGCGTTCTCCGTGTGTTGGGAAATTCGAGCACCTAAATGTGTAGCCACTCCTGGTTGGTTAGGGGTGCTTTTCCTCCATGTCACATGAAGGATCTCATCTTTAGAGATCGAAATTTGAAAGTCGGCCAACAGGACCATTGTTTATCTTTCTGTGCCTGTTTGTTTATATGAGGCAGGGCAAGAGAGTGTGCCAAGGCATCCAGGTAGACCTTGTAGGACGACTTGCAATTGCAAGATTATTTGCTATTCACCAAATCTGGGTCATCAGGCTGGAGAGCCAGTGCCTTCACCATCTCCCTAGCTCTCATTCTCCTGTGTTGACCAACATTTGACTCTTTGGAGTTGTAGTCATTAGTATCTTTAAGGTTTAGTGAAATGTTTCTGGTAGCTATGAAGATTTAAATATTTGTTATTTGCTTGTGTCTTTCCCTTTTAAAAGTCTATTTTAGTCAGATAAACATTATGCAATTGGAAGCATACATGGTCATTTGAAAAGCATACTTTTGTTGTAAATACAAATAAATCGCCTGAAGTTTTACTTCCTCAGCATACGACAACTTGGACGTTTTGCCTGGGTTAGTTCTTAAGCCTGGCTTATATGACTTGAGTGGCTGTGTTTTGGAGGTAATAGTGTGCGTTTGTGTATGCACGCATGTGTGTGCATGTGCGTGTGTGTGTGTAAGAGACACTTTTAGAAAGCAATGTGTGTGTGTGTGTGTGTGTGTGTGTGTGTGTGCAAGGGACACTTAGAAAGCAGTGTGGTGTGTGTGTATGTAAAAGACACTTTTAGGAAGCAGTGTGTATGTTTAAAGGTTCACCTCTCGGTGTCCTCAGCCACGGTCTCGTCAGTCCAAACTCAAGTGTTTTCAGCGTGGAATATCTTTGCTCTTTTTGACTGCCACAGTACTCCTGGAAGCTGGTCCACCCCACTGACAAGTACTCCAACAAGGACTGCCCGGACAATGCTGAGGAGTATGAGCGCGCCACACGCTATAACTACACCACTGAGGAGAAGTTTGCCCTGGTGGAGGTGAGGGCGCCTGCTTCCTGTTTCCTGCTCTGCCCGTGCTGGTGCCTAGCTATGGGGGGGGGGGGGGGGGGGTAGGTGTTGCCAACCCCCCTGTGAGTGCTTGCCAGTGGACAGTAGTTTCTTAAAAGTGGAAAGACAGGTGATAGATAAATTGGGATTTGGTCTCTACCCCAAGAGGAGAGCCATATGGCAGGCTCTGGTTGTTTTCTACTCATAATGGCTACTAATTCTTTATCTCACTTATATGGTCCTCAACAGTCTTGAACTAACTGCCTTCCTTCCTTCCCTCCCTCCCTCCCTCCCTTTCTCTTTTCTTCTTTCCTTCGTTCCCTCCCTCCCTCCCTTTCTCTTTCCTTCCTTCCCTCCCTCCCTCCCTTTCTCTTTCCTTCCTTCCCTCCCTCCTTCCTTCCCTCCCTCCTTCCTTCCTTCCTTAATTTTTAAAGTTCTTTTTTTGTTCTCCTGTTTCTTCTAATGGATAAAATTTCTTAATTCAGTTTTCTGATTGGGGTGTGCGCGTGTGTGTGCACGTGTGTGTGCACGTGTCTGCATGGATGCACCACAACATATGTGTCAAGGCTCTTCTTTTTGCCATGTTCTGGGGTTGGACTCAGGTCGTCAGGTCTGCACGGCAGGCGCTTTTGCCCACTGAGACAGCCCACCAGACACATCTCAGAGTGAGCTTTTTATACCTCACAGGAAAATACATTGGAATTTCCCGTCAGGATATATATATATAAATGTCAAGGTCATTTTAGGGAGAATTGATGAACTTCTAATAGTACATCTCTCTCTCTCTCTCTCTCTCTCTCTCTCTCTCTCTCTCTCTCTCTGTCTCTCCTACTCACCCCCTCTCTATCATATATCTCTGGAAATTCTAGTGTCCCGTGCTTTTCTGTGAAACCTCACTCTCCTGGCACAGGGCGCGCTTCCTGTACCAGGCCATGAATCTGGATCAATATCCTAGGAGTAAAACAGACACACACACACACACACACACACACACAAAGATCGGGATCATTTGCCCAAAGGGTAAATGTCAATCTTTATTCAGCATATGTAGGCTTATATACTTGGAGGCAAGAGGATGAGAGCCCCCCTCCCACCTGGGAGTGAGAGGAGGAGTGTTGACCACTTGGTGCCAGCAGCCTGAGCCTCCATGCAGGGGGTAACAAGCTGGGAACCCTGGCAGACAGGTGGGAGGAGATTTAGGGCGCCTGTGAGGACCTTCTTAGCAGGTAAAATTATCATAGCAATGACAAAAACAAGGCTTTGAACTAATTCCCTCCGGCTGCCAAAATGAGCAGGAAAAGCTAAGCTGGTTAGCATAAACAATTCTTGCATCCTGTGTTTTGGCCTCGAGGAACAGGGAAGACAGGGCCCTGCATTCTAGATTATTTTCTGTTTTATTTCTAGATATTGGCTCTTGTCGCTGGTATACTTTTGATGTTTCCAAATAACTATCTATTAGCATTTTTATGTCTATATATGTCTGTGTAAGTGAATGCCGAATGTCTTTGTAGGGGGGTTGTCTGTGGAGCCTGAAGAGGTCTTTCCCTCCCTTGAAGCTGCAGTTACAGGTAGCTGTGAGCCGCTCGACATGGGAGCTGGAAATGCAGGTCCTCTGTTAGGACTTCCATATGCTCGTAGCTACTGAGCCATCTCTCCAGCCACAGTCCTTTATATTCAAGGGTATAATCATGTCAAGCTTGTTGAGCTAACTCTTACTCTCAAGGACCCCAGCTTTTTCTCTTTTGCCTATGAATATCCAGCTGTCCCTGTGTTTAACGGAAAGGTAATCTTTTCCCATTGGACTATTTTGGCACCTTGCTGACTATTGAAAATAAAGTGTCAGTGGGAGGATTTAGTTTATTATATTCTATTATTAGAGGGGCAGAGTAGAAGATATTTTCTTTTGTGTTTGGGTGAAATGTTCTGTAGGTGTCTGTTAAATCCATTTGGTTTACAGTGTCTGTTAGCTCCAGCATTTCTCTGTTTAGTTTTTGTCTGGATCACCTGCCAGTTGTTGAGAATGGGGTATTGAAGTCTCCCGGTATCAGTACATGAGGGTCAGTGTGTAGTTTAGGCTGTAGTAGCGTTTCTTGTACAAACTTGGGTGCTCTTGTGTTTGCGGCATTGAAATGTCATCTTGGTGCATCTTTCCTCTGATGAGTATGTGGTGTCCTTCCCTTTCTCTTCTGATCAGTTTTGGTTTGAAGTCTATCTTGTCAGATATTAAAATAACTACACCAGCTTGCTTCTTAGGTCCATTTGCCTGGAATATCTTTTCCCAACCTTTTCCTCTGATGTAATGTCTGTCTTTGATATTGAGGTTTGTTTCTCGTATGCAGCAGAAGGGTGGATTCTGTTTTCCCATCTATTAGTGTGTGTCTTCTTATTAGGGAATTGAGTCCATGGATGTTTAGAGTTATCAATGACCAATGATTGTTAGATTTTGTTGTTTTGTTGGTGGTGGTGGTGGTGTGGTGTGCTAGCGCAGGCGTTCAGGCGTGTGTTTCCTTTCTTTTGGTTTTGTTGGTATGAGATTATTTATTCCGTGTGTTTTCATGTGTGTAGTTAGCCTCCTTCCTTGGGTTGGAGTTTTCCTTCTTTAGGGTTGGATTTGTAGATATTGTTTAAATATGACTTTGTCATGGAATATCTTGTTTTCTCCATATATGGTGATGGAAGGTTTTGCTGGAGATAGTAATCTGGGCTGGCATCTATGGTCTCTTGGTGTCTGCAAAACATCTATTCGAGACCTTCTGGCTTTTAGTGTCTCGATTGAGAATCGGGTATAATTCTGATAGGTCTGCCTTTATATGTTACTTGATCTTTTTCTCTTGCAGCTGTTAATATTCTTTGTTCTGCATGTTTAGTGTTTTGATTATTATATAGTGTGGGGGCCGCTTTCTTATCTGCTCTAATCTGTTTGGTGTTCTATGCTTCTCTATCCTTATAGGCATGTCCTTCTTTAGGTTAGGAAATTTTTCTTCTATGATTTCTGTTGAAACTGTTTAACATTTTCTTTGACCAATGTATCTATTTCCTCTATTGTGTCTTCAATGTCTGAGAGTCTCTTCCATGTAATGTATTCTCTTATGCCGGGAACCAACAAGCGGCTTTCCATACTACTACGCTCTTGCCTCTGTTGGTCCTGTTTGCATTCCTATAATTTTTCATTTCCAGATTTCCCTCCATTTGTGTTTTCTCTATTGCTTCTATTTCCATTTTCAGGTCCTGAAGAGTTTTATTTGTTTCCTTCCACTGTTTTCTCCACTTTCTTTAAGGGATTTATTCTTTTCTTCCAATTGATCTGTTCATTTCTTCTTTAAGGACCTCTATCACCTTCACATAGTTGGTTTTAAGATCATTTTCTTGGGCTTCAGTGTGCTGGGATATACATGTCTGCTGTGGTAGGGTGGCTGGGCTCTATTGGAGACATATTACCCTGGCTGTTGTTGATTGAATGGTCTAGGTGATGATTTCTGGATTTGTCTTTGTTGACTGGGTGGTTTGTTCCTTGGCTTCTGTTTCCCCTGGCATTTTGGAGCCTATGGTGGTTGTGTGTTGCCAGTTTTTCTTGCCCTTTCAACTGGCATGTTCACAGGGAATGCCTGCTGGGGTTGAAGGCTGGGCAACTGGGATGATTTGGGGAAGGAAGGCTAGAGAAGGTCTTTGTAATCCATGGGGCACGGGGTTGGAGAGGAAAGGGAGACCTCAGGAGGCTTCCAGCTGTAGACCTGGGGATGAGACTTGGGGGATTAGATCTCAGGACCAGTAAGAGAGGTTTGGGTCTGTCTGTCTTTAATCTACTTATTGCCCTGGGGGGAACTGCTCTTGGGGTTGGGAGTGGGCGCCTGCTGGAGTTGGGGTCTGGGACAAAGCAGCGGGTTCAGGGAAAGAGGTTAGGCTGCAGCTGGGGTTCTCTGCAGCCCAGGGACAGACTGGGGATTGGGCCCGGGGGACAGAGAGGAGAAAGTCTACAGCCAGCCTGCCTGTTTTTCTGGCAGGTGTAGTCTGTGGCTTTCTCCTTCTGGTACTTAGAGAAATAGTCTCTAGGGAGCAGGTTTCTGCTCAGATTCATCTTGATTCTTCCAAGTCCTGTGCCCAAAGTATATAATGTCTTCAACAATTGAGAACATATCTTCAGATTAAGGAAACAACCAAAAGCAATAGTTTATATTAGGGAGTTTGTTGTTGTTGTTGATTTTTGTTTTGTTTTATGTGTGTCTTGGAATCCCCTGACCAACAACTCAAAAAGAGGTTAATTGTGTATGGCTCTTGCGGGGAGAATTACCACCCCAAATTATGTTACTTCATTTCATTTAAGCGTGTGTGTGTGTGTGCGTGTGCGTGTGTGTGTGTGTGTGTTAGGTGCATCTAGCTGTATACACCATACTGTTTTCTGTTACATTTCATGTGAACATAAAATGACAGGCCCTTTCGCACACCCTACTGTTGCTTATCGGTGATTTCCCGCGTCTCTCTTTACTACTCTCCTTCTCCTCCCAAGTTAAAGCATCTTCCACAACCCCACACCTACCGTTGTTCCCGTTTCTTCTCCACAGTGCCCACTGTTCCTCTCTCTAGGGCTCCCCTTTCTCTCTCTCTCTCTCCCCCTCTCCCTTTTACTCTCTTGGTTTATGTGGTTGCTCCAGATTCCTGGTACTACCTGTGTATGGTGACGTAATCTCAATCTGATCATGGATATCTTACTTCTTTTCTTTTTCCTTGGCTAATTCTGCTGGCCATCTGTCAGTTTTTAGCATTTGTTTACCAAGCAACTTTTGTGTTTGCTGATCATTAATTGGACTTCTTAGCTGTTTTATTAATTTTCTTCTGTTTTGTATATATATGTATATATGTCTGTATGCGCGCGCACACACACACACATTCCTTCCCATTACTTTTAGTGGCACACTTTGCCATTCTTTGTCTGAATTTGTGATGACCGTTCCATGGCTATGTCTTCCAGTCTTTACGTTTCGAATGTACATATGTATTCAATGCTTGGCCTCACTTTTCAGCCCTCTTTTGCCGCCTTGAGTCTAAATACGTGGTGCTTTCGTTCTTATCCAGTTATTGTTTAGTTTATTTTCTTTATTTTATTTTACATATATGGGTGTTTGTCTGCATGTGTGTCTGTACACCAGTGGTGTCCCTCTTGCCCATGGAGGCAAGAAGAAGACACTGGACTTGGAACTGGAGTTACAGATGGTTGGCTGTCACTATGTGATTGCTGGGAATTGAGCCCAGGTCCTCTGGAAAAGAAGCCAGTGCTCTTAACTGCTGAGCCATCTCTCCAGCCCCTGCCCTATGCACTTTTTTAAAGTAAAAGTTTCTCTCCCCAACCCCCGCGTTTCAGTCATATAAATCCATCATATAGTTCTCCAGCATGAACACATGGAAACCCTTCATGTGTCTTCATGGAAATATGTAGCATCTATAGAGCTGTTACATAGTTAGAAATTCAAGCAACTGGCTTCGTTTTTTTTTTTTGTTTGTTTGTTTTAATTCTAGGCCCTTTCCACATGTATTAAGTTCACGTCCCATTGTTATTCAACAAGTGGGATTTAATATACAAACTGTTGTTACTTCTTTTTCCTTTCTGAGTCACGTTCATATTTGCCTTTTGAGTGTGTACTTCCGCATTGGAATGCATCAGGAATAGGCCTGATGGACAGGGCGTTCTTGAATCAGATACTGCTGCCCTCAGGGTACTCATGGTGGGATGAGGTGAGGTCAGTTCCAGGTAGGCACAGAGCATACAGAGTCTTCTGCTGTGGGGCAGAAGGTGATGGGACAGGGCAGCCTGGCACTGGCAAGGACGGGAGCCAAGGAAGATGTGTGAGTGAGAAGGAGACTTCCCAGGCAGTGAAGGACTGTCCCCTGTCCCCCTTCAGCCACTGAAAGCTGTGTCCTTCCAGGTGATTGCCATGATCAAAGGCCTGCAGGTGCTGATGGGCAGGATGGAGAGCGTATTCAATCACGCCATCAGGCACACTGTCTACGCTGCACTGCAAGACTTTTCCCAGGTGACCCTCAGAGAGCCGCTGAGACAGGCCATCAAGAAGAAGAAGAACGTCATCCAGAGGTCAGCCTCCCTCGTCTTCCCTCACAGCCCCCAAGGCCACGGAGGGAGCTTAGGTTCAGACAGAAGGCATGTCTACTTTCATAAGTAGGCTCAAGATATTTCTCTTCAACTCCTAGCCCTGTTTCTGATGAATTGCGTCTAAATAGAATGTGGGGGGTCTAATTAGGGGCCTGAGCAGCAACCATCAGTTACCTGCTGAGTATTCGGGGGTCTAGAGACCCAGAGTCAAGAGAATCGTCCAGCCACCAGGTGTTCTGGGATAGAAGGCCCCACATTCTGCTCTCCCTCTCCCAAATATGTCATCTTTAGCAATTTTCTTTTAGACTACCCTAAAAGTCTGGCAAAAAAAAAAAAATGACCTAGATATGATAAATCTGAGAGACTGAGAGTTTTTAATGTAAGCTTTATTTTAATGTAAGTTTAATTGAAGCTGTGTGTGTGTGTGTGTGTTTATTGACTTTCATAGAAACGTGTGTAAACAAAACCTACCAGAGTTCAGGAATATATAGTGTTTTGCTATAGAGTTACCTGAGGTAATATGGTTTTGAGAATTAAGAAAATTCTAAACAGTGTGTGCATTCTAATTATAAAAGTCTAAAAATCTAAGATGCCCCCAAAGTCAGAGCGAGAGAGAGCATGTGCACACAGCTGTAGACCTGTACATGTGTGTGGTGTTAAGGACTCAGCACGGGTCCTTGCACACACTAGGCATACTCTGCCACTGAGTCGTAAAGATGCAGAACATTTTCAATGACAATATGATGCCACAATAGAAACCTGCATCCTGAATTAGATAATTTTATATCCAAAAGTACTTAAAATAATATATAAAATTGTCATCTGACTATGTGTGTGATTTATATTTCAAGCAAATTAGTATCCTATTTAGACTTATATCTTATCCCCCAAGAAAATTTACTTACATTCAAATAGTCCCAACCCCAAACAGATGTGAAATCCGAAACCCTTGTTCCAGTCTTTCAGGTAACAATTTTGTTGGAGGCACACTGGATATAGCAGTGCCTGCTCTTGACAAAAGCCAGATCTGTTCCACCAGCCACTTTTAAAGGGAGGGTTTCTCTGTGTAGCCCTGGCTGGCCTGAAACTCATGCTGTAGACCAGGCTGGCCCTGAACTCAGATCTGCCTGCTTCTGCCTCTCAAGTGTTGGAATTAAATGCTTGCTCCAGCACCTCTCAGCCGTTGAATTTTATCCAGAACTTTCCACATGAAATGACCAGAGTCAACATAAGATATCTCTAGTCCTTGTACCCCATACTAACAGTACAGCTTGTTAGCAATTGGGGTTACATTTCCAGGGAGTCGAGACACATATTCTTTCTCTTGAGCTATGTGATGAGTTCAGTTCCTGCTGGTGTGCAGAACAATTGTCCGCAGCCAGGCAGAACACTGCTGTCTGGATGGGCTTTTGAGAGCCTCTGTTCTCCCTGCCCTGACTTGGCTGCCTGGTTCATATTCACGAAGTTAAACCCTGTTTCCTGGCTTATTGGTGCAAACTACGTCTTTTGGGACTAGTATCACTTTAAAAAAATGCAACCCCCCCCTTTTTTTAAAGTTTCCTATGAATAGACTCTTACCGTGTTCCATCAGCCAGAGGTGTCCTCTGTGCGTTGGTGGTTAGGTGACGTGATGCTGTGATTGCAGAGATCCCCGACTGATGCCTTGATGGGCGGTTTAGTGTTCTGCAGGCCATCAGGAAGACTGTGTGTGACTGGGAGACTGGGCACGAACCCTTCAACGACCCAGCTCTCCGGGGCGAGAAGGACCCCAAGAGTGGCTTTGACATCAAGGTGCCACGGCGTGCTGTGGGGCCCTCCAGTACACAGGTTCTCGTCATCTTTGTCCTAGAACGGGGCTGGGGGCGGGGCAGGGGGCGGGGCTGGGGCGGGGTGGCGGTGCAGATGGGGCGGGACTGACTTAGTGGTGCCGGTGTCTGCCCAGGCAAATCCTGCTCTGCCTGAGGCTTTTTTACTCTTCTGTGCCTTGCCCAAGTGAATCTCAAACCTTAACTCAGACATTCCTGGGAGTATCAGGTTTCTGCATTGAACTGCACAGGTCATAGGATGCCATTTCTACTTCTGCCTGTGAAATATATGCCTACATTTCCATATTTATAGCGTGTTCCCTTTTTGCATTCCGGAGACAAGGTCTCGCCACCTAGGCTGGCCTCCCAGAACGGCAGGCATATGCCCGCACGTCTGTGTTTCTCTCTTGATGTTTAAACGTGTGACTGTAATTTCCGTGTTAAATTTATAAGTGGAGTGTTCCTAAAAATGAAATGTCGCTCTCGTATGTCATTGCTGCCCTTCCTTCCGGTGTCCTTCCGGTGTATGTAAGCCGTCCTTGAGGGGCTTCTCACTGACTCACTTGGTTCTAGATGCTCCTCTCTGCTTTGGAACCTGTCCCCTCCTGTCACGTCTCTTAGAGGCTTCATCTCTCTATCGCTCCTATAGAAAGGTACCAGCAAAACACATGGCTGGGTCTATGTGTAACCGCTTGCCGATCAGGAGCAAGGCTCTCGGCCACCCTTGGGGTCCGTGTGAGGCATACACCGCCCTCCGCTCTTCCATCCATTTGCCTGTCCCTGTGTCCCCCTCCCCCCCCCCACACCAGACCTGTGCATCGTGTGACTAACGGCTCTCTCCCGCTTCTCCTTCCCCGTCTGTCCGTGTCTAGCTCTTCCTGGTGCGCACTATGGCCGAGTCCTTGAGCTCTGCCGAGCTGCAGAGGCAGCTCAAGTCTCTGGGCATGGAAAGGCTCTTGCATGTGGTAAACGCGTTTCTGAGGCAGTCGTACACCTATCCACCTCTCTTAACCTTTGGTGGTAAGACATCCTTCGTTTTTCTTGTTGATGCTTATGGCACGGAGGTGAGCTGCTCCTCTACACAGAGTTCGTCCCAGGAAGCGGCATCTTGGCTCCTCGGAGTCCCAGGCCCTCCGGACAGCCTCTCTCTGGCAGGCTGGTTGCGGGCATGGGATTCAGCCAAGGTGTAGTGGAGCAGGTCTTCTTCTGTAGATTTTCCCATTTGTTGTGACTAATGCACCGTTTATATTTCTTCCCCTACAAATACCTCCTTGGATAACACAGCTTTACATGGTGAGAACCATGCTAGAGTCCCTCATTGCAGACAAAAGTGGTGCCAAGAAAACCCTGAGAAGTAGCCTTGAGGGGCCCACCATATTGGACATAGAAAAGTTCCATCGAGAGTCCTTCTTCTACACACACTTGATAAATTTCAGTGGTAAGAGACAGTGCTGACCAGAGTCCGGCCTGGCATGCTCTAACACTGCTAACACCACCCGGGACGCTTCTGCCTACCTTACCATCTTCCTGCCCATCTCTTCATGCACCCACATGGTGCCACGTCCTCACCTTTGTGGTGGTGGCCAGACATCCTGGAGATCCATCCCCAGTCTCTGCCCTGGCCTCTGGAAGACATGGCCTAAACTTAGCAGGACAAGGGCCACAGGGCTTTGGTTGGCCCTGCCGAGTGAACACAAAATCAGGATGACAAAGCAGGGAGCTGTAATTCTTACCTGGATCGAGATCCAGGCATTGACGAGTAGAAGAAATGGCCCCTCTGGCCCCCACTGCCCAGATAGCAGAAGTACTCGGAGACAGACAAGTGACCATTTTGGTGACACCCTGCCACTTTGACCTGGCACTGGTGGGTGCTTTCTACCCTCTGCGTCTGCCTGTGGCCTCATCACCCTGTTCATGGTATTCTGCTTAGAGCAGATCTCTGTGCCTTGCCTGAGGCTGCAGGCAGTAAAGTAAAGAATAATACTGTTACTGTGAGCTCCGAGAACATAACAAATCTTAATTGTTTTAGATCTGTTTCTAGTTTTGTATTGGTTAAACCTCTCCCGAATGTGCATGTAATCTTACATCCTAGACACTGGTGTTTGTCCTACAGAAAGGGACACACAGGATGGGTATCCTTCGTCTGAAATGGTTGGGACCAGAAATGCTTATGTAATGACAGATTTGGGGGACGGGATCTGAGTATAAATAGTTTCTTATTTTTTTGCACCGTACGCATGCACACAGTCTGAAGATTGGACAGTCATACGCCGCATGGCCACATTACTGCCAGTCCCAGAGGTTGCATGCTGATGTCACGGTCATTTTAATTGGTCGGCATCTGAGCCAGCTCTGACTGTGACCCCGTCACTAGACACAGCCATACCTTATCACAGTCTCTGTGTCTACTTTTGGATTTCTTCCCACTGCATGAGAAGCGGTATGGGATGTTTCACCCAGGACACCACATCGTACCTAAGAATACTGAGATTTTGGAGCATTTGGGATTTCCGGTTTTCAGATGAGGGATATGAAACCTGTGGTCCTGTTTCCACTTCTCCTTTTCAAAAGGACACCGTCCCCCGATCCTGCCAGGAAGGGTCCCTGAGGTCCCTGATGGCAGGACGACACTGGCTGCCCTGAAGGTGTAGGGTCTTCACTGTCCTGAAGCCACACTCATATTAGTCTTGTGTCTCATATGACGTGTCCGGTGACCCCTTCCTGCTTGCATCCGTGCTGCATGGCTGGGAGCTAAGCATAGAGGAGCCACATCCCGGGTAAAACCCCTCTCGTCGTCTCTGGACTACAAGCCGTTTTCTGCCCGCGGACGATAACCTGGTGTCGTTTGAACCCCCTCAAGAAACACTGCAGCAGTGCTGTGACCTTTCCCAGCTCTGGTTCCGAGAGTTCTTCCTGGAGCTGACCATGGGCAGGAGGATCCAGTTCCCCATTGAGATGTCCATGCCCTGGATTCTGACTGACCACATTCTCGAGACCAAGGAGGCGTCCATGATGGAGTGAGTAGCCTTCGCGCCATGTGCCTGTATCTGCACGTGTTAACTCGGGATTAAGACGGAAAGAAAGACACTGAATACTGATACCAATAGACACTTAGACCACGCCATGAAGACAGTAAAGTCATGGAGGCCCTTCACCTGCGTAGTCTTTGTGTATCCTTCATATAGGAAAAGGTGCCTCACTTTCTCTGACCCGGTGATGTGCAGTAACTCCTTAAGATTCAACTTTGTACAGGAATACCGTTTGCCGTGAAAAGCAAAAAATCAGTTTCTTTGTATGGCAGTTAAATTTCCCCGGGTTAGGCAGCTGCGAGGGTCACACGCCACTGGCTGGGGAGTGACCGGTGTCCATCCTCTGCAGGTATGTCCTCTACTCCCTGGACCTGTACAATGACAGCGCCCACTACGCGCTCACCAAGTTCAACAAGCAGTTTCTCTATGACGAAATCGAGGCGGAGGTAAGGGACCCGCAGCCTTAGTGGCTTTTATTAGGTACCTCTTAAATTCTACTCTTTATCTTGGGTATTCAAAAGCTAAACTCTATCTAAATGTAGAGTGTGTTAAGCAGTGAAATACGCTTTTCGGTATGAGCCTTTCTGGCTTCGCCTTCTCTGTTTATACACCGGAAGGGTGTGCTTTTCCACTACGCGATAAGCCATTTCTGCATCCCTATCTGTCGCTTGGCGGGATGCACCGTTCATTTGAACCAGCCCCCACTTTCTTTTAGATTTCTTTAGGTTTTTAAAATTTAGAGGCAATAAAATAGTACTTTGCTGAACTTCCTGGTACGCACACTTTTTTATTCACACTGGACTGGTGCATGCTTGTGTGCTCCCCCCCCAACACACACACACTCCTCCGTAGCCCAGGCTATCCACAGACTCATGACAATCTTCCTGCCTCAGCTTTCTGAGTACTGGGATTACATGAGTAATTCTGACTGTATTGGGTTATTTCTTAAGGGCGCATGCTCACAGGTGAAATTGTTAGGTGAGCACACACATGCAACTGAGCGACCGTGTCTCTTTCTTTCACTTAAGATGTAAGAGGACTTAACCTCAAGAGATCACTTCCTGTACCCGGGCAGCTCCACCTCCTCCCAGACAACATCTTAGTGTTTCCTCGGGGATGATGTCCTGATGCCCAGGCAGTGCAGGATGCGTGGACACAGACTCACGCTCCTGGTTCTGTCTGCAGATCCTGCACCTCTCTGCCTCTCAGAGCACACACGGTCTCTTCATGGTTCTGAAGAACAATGCCATGCCCGTCTTTAAGTGAAACCCTAGGTTCCAGGGTGTTTCTTTGACAGCCTGTGCTGAGAACGTTCATAAGTGCAATGACTTAGCAATGATGTGCATTACCTCCCCGAGAGCAGATGGCTCAGGGACTTTTTCCTGTTCCTTGAACTTGAGAGGACGAGTCTTATGCTCTCCCTGCACGCTTCTTCTTGTTTGGTTGTTTGTCGTTTGCAGTTAGGGTCTTCCATAACTTACACTGCTCTCGAGATCCCTACGTAACTTCAGCTAGCAGGGAACTTTTATTCTTCCTTGAACTCTGTAAATCAGGCTGGCGTAAAACTCAGAGGTCTTCCTGCTCCTGCTTCTGTGTGCGGGGTTTACAGGCGTACACCACCACTTGCCTGATTTCTTAATTTTCTCCTACTCCTCTTTCTCCTCTTCTTCCTCATCCTCTTCCTCTTCTTCTTCCTCTGCTTCCTCCTCTTCCTCTTCTTCCTCCTCCTTCTTTTGTAAGCAGTTTTGTTGGCACATACACTGCATGTTGAGGTAGTTCCACAAGGATAATTTTCTCGAGTGTATCATGTGCTTTGAACATATTCCCCCCAGCCTTGAACTTCTTCTGATTCTCTTCCTTCAACTTCGTAGGCGCTATGACAGAAATATGCTGCCATGTCTGCTTTTTCTCCATGGTGTTCTAATCTAACTTTTGGTGCCGGCATGGTGGTCACCCCAACACACTCTATGTGCCATGTTAGACAACAAGATCATCAATGCTTTCTCTTTTCTAATAAGAGCCTCAACTTGTGTTGAAGCAAGGGTTTTGGGCTAGCTATGGTGCACGTGGTGCCTGTAGTCCCAGGATACAGGAACCTGAGCCTTAAGGATCGGAGTTAGCGTGAGCTGCGTAATGAATCAACTGTTGCTGAAAGCAACGCAAAATAAGCGGAGGAAAGCAGAAGCGTTTGTTTTTGAGTTGTTATATGATCTTGGTGTCAGGAGTTGAATTCTAACGCGGTTTGCTTTTTTGCCAGGTGAATCTGTGTTTTGACCAATTTGTTTACAAACTGGCAGACCAGATATTTGCGTATTACAAAGTTATGGCAGGAAGGTAAGCGTGTGACATGCGGTCCTCGTGCAGAATCCTGATTTTATCAGATAGTCCTGTTATAAATAAATCCAATGTGTGACAAATACCCTCTCCCCTGCACCAGTTTGCTTCTGGACAAACGGTTACGATCAGAATGCAAGAACCAGGGCGCCACGATCCACCTGCCGCCGTCCAACCGCTACGAGACGCTGTTGAAGCAGAGACACGTGCAGGTGAGCCATTGACCCTACTGACGTGTGTCTTGAAAGCAACCAGCTTTTTAGAGCCAGCTAAACTTTTGTAAGTAGCATGGCGTCTGAATGGTCTAATAAAGTATTAAGGTGTTTTGCTTTGTTTTTCCTCCCCACTCCCCACTGGGTTGCCCAGGCTAGTCGTTGTTGTTGTTGTTGTTGTCGTTGTTGTTGTTGTTGTTGTTGAGGCTATGTCTTAATTGCTTTGCTCTTGCTATGATAAGAAGCCAAGGCAACATAGAGAAGAGAACATTTATTTAGGGCTTACGGTGTCAGAGGGTTAAGAGTTGATGACCATCACGGTGGGGAACACAGTGGTAGGCATGACAATGGAGTCACAGCTGAGAGCCCACATCTGGAAGTTGATGACCATCAGGGTGGAAATGCAGGGGTAGACATGACAATGGAGTCACAGCTGAGAGCCACATCTGGAGACACAACCACAAGACAGAGGGAGAGCACAAGTCTTTTGAAACCTCAGAGCCTTCCCCTGGTGACACACATCTTCTAACAAAGCCATACCCAATCCTTCCCAAACAGTTCCTCCAACCCAGAACCAAGTATTCAAGCATACGAACCCATAGGGACCATTATTAGCCTAATTACAAAGATGATAATGTAATTACATCAATTCCTTTCCTTCTTTTTCCTCTTTCTGAAGCCTCTCAAACAGCCCCTCCCATTACTCTCTTTCAAATTCATTTCCTCTTTTTCTTGTTTTACACACACACACACACACACACACACACACTTGTAAATACATAAATACAAACTCCTCAGTTTCCATATGTTTGTGACTCATATGTGTGCATTTTCAGAGCTGACCATTTGATACCCGATAACCTACCAGTATGCTCTTCCACGGGAACACTATTTCTTCCGTTCTCAGCATTCCTTGGTTGTCTACGGTTCAAGCCTCCTGAGCATTCCCCCATCCATGTTAGCTTGTCTATTGGTATCATCCTTGTTCAAGTCACTTGTAGGCATCCATGCTGGTGAGACTTCATGGGCATCTGACGTTTGTAGAAGACACAATCTCACCACAAACTCCCAACTCCTCTGGCTCTGGCAATCACGATGGCCCTTCTTCCACAGTGGTCCCTATGGGCCTTCGGTACAGGAATTGTATTATAGGTACATCAGGTAGGGCCAGACTCTGCAACTCTGTCTTCTGATTGATTCTGTTTTTCTGTAATGGTCTCCCTCTGTTTGCAAGGAGACATTTTCTTGATAAGGGGAGAGAAATTAGTTAGGGACAATGCTAGTTTAGGAATCTAGCAGTTGTAGGTTCTCCAAGATCCATGACTTTACTGACTCTGGGTAGTTTGGCTAGGTTTCCAGTACCAGGTGTGACTTTCCTCTTATTGAGTGGGTCTTAGGACCAATTAGAGAGCTGTGGGTGATCACCAAGGTCTGTGTGCCAGCTCTGCATCCTTAGGGTTATTGTGCCTTGCTTTCGGGTGTATAAAATGTAGGTAAGACCTTGATTGCTTCTCTCCTTTGGAAACTTACATGGAATCTTCTGGTAGCATTAAAGTTAGTTCTTAGAGAAAAAAGATTCAGGTCCGATCCATCTCAGGTCCTTTGGGCCTTGTGTCTGACATGTAGGGTGTCTTCAGCAATAGGGAAACATAAGGGCAATGGTAATTACTTACGATGTTTTGAGAGTTGTTTGGACACCTCTGACCAACAGCTCAAAAGAGGGCTTCTCGTGTGTCCAAGTAGTCTTACATTAAGGGACTTAAACAACCTTCCCACCTTAGCCTGAGAATTTAGGTTTCTACTTATTATTCTGTGTATAAAAGGGTTACATTTTATATTGAACAACCGTAACTACAGGGGTGAAATCGCAGCTCTGTGAACCCTGTTTGCTTCTAGGAAATAGGCCCAGTCTAGAAGAGTTGCTCCTTCTCCAAGAGCTCCAAATCCAGATCTTTAAATAAATAAAGCTGAGGCGAGGGCTCTCAATGAGCAAGCCACGGGGATACTTGCACATCTGTGTTTGTCGCGGCCCTGTTCCCATAGCCAGGGTATAGACTCGATCTGTCAACGGCAGGAAAAATGGAATTCATATACTATAAGAAGTAGATTGAACTGAGACTGAGAGTGGAATCCTGTCATGGACAGAACTGGAAGTCATCATAGAAGCTCAATAAGGCAGACTCAAAAAGATAAACATGGCATGTTTTCTTTCATATACAGAATCTGTATTTCATATGTGTATAAGGAAGACAGGAAAGCAATACAGGAGCTACCATCAAGGAGGACAAGAGCAGATCATGGGGGCGGTTGACTGAACGAAGGACGAATAATACTCGTGTGTGGAAATATTATGAGATTTATTTTGTGATACAAAACTTTAATTAAGATTTAATTAAGACTATGTAAACAAATAGAGTGAGGTGAGAAGACTTGTGCTTTAGCACAGGACTCTGAGGTAGACTGTGCTTGCCGGGTAGTGGTGATTAACACTTTACACTTTTTTTTTTTTAAATATTTATTTATTATGCATACAATAGTCTGTCTGTGTGTATACCCGCAAGCCAGAAGAGGGCACCAGACCCCATTATAAGATGGTTGTGAGCCACCATGTGGCTGCTGGGAATTGAACTCAGGACCTTTGGAAGAACAGGCAATGCTCTTAACCTCTGAGCCATCTCTCCAGCCCCAACACTTTACACTTTTAATCCCAGCACTCAAGAGGCAGAGGCAGGGGGATCTCTCTGAGTTCGAGGCCAGCCTGATCTACAGAGTGAGCTCCAGGACAGCCAAAGCTACATTGAAGAACCCTGTCTGGAGAAAACAAAAACAAAGACAAAAAGATAGGCATTTGTGTGTGTGTGTGTGTGTGTGTGTGTGTGTGTGTGTGTGTGTGTGT